GTAAGATCAGACCAGAAGGCCATTGAGCCCATAGAGTCTGCTGTGCCATTCAAGAACCCTAATGCCATTTTTCTTCACTATCCCTATGTCCCTTGATGCCATTCATATGTAGAAATCCATCGATCTCTTCTTTGTGACCAATGCCTAGCTTCCACAGCCACTGGGAGGAGAATTCCAAAGATTCTCCAGCCTCTGAATGAAGAAATTCCTTCATCATCTCAACGAGGAGGAGTTTCTTCAGTGAGGAGAAGGTGAATCTTTGGATTAATTTATTCTTTCATGATATGTGCGAGTCGCTGACAGGGCTAGCATTTGTTGCCCATCCCAAATTGCCCACTTGACCTGAGTGGCTTTCTGGGCCAATACAGCAGGTAGTTAACCACATTGCTGTGGGTCTGGAGTCACGTGTAGGCCAGACCAGGTAAGGACAGCCGTTTCCTCCATTCATGGACGTTAGTGAATGATGGTGATGGTTTCATGGTCACCATTGCTGCGATGAGCTTTATATTCCAGATTTTTTTCCTATTATTAATCTAAATTCCATTAGCTGATGTGATGGGAGCTGAATGTATGCCCAGACAGCGTTAGCCAGTGATTCATTCTGAAATGTAAGTAAGACCAGAATCCACTGGATTACTAGCTTAGTGACACTACCATGAAACTCACCATCAACCCTGGATAACTGGTGAAATTTAGCCATGGAGTATATTCAATACAGAGAAAGGAGAATGGTCTTAAAGGACAAGGGAGAGGTGGAGATATTGTGTTGTGATTGTATCAACGCGACATAGGACTGCAATGTTTAAGATGTCATCTCGCCACTGCTTTCACAACATCATTCAGGATACCAAGTGCTATCTTAATCACAATGTCCACACCCTATTAGCTGCTGAGAGGCTATTTTCCCTTGTGAGAAAGTCTAGGACTGGACTGGGATTAGTGTAGATTGGTCAGTGCAGACTTGATAGCTGAAGGGCCTTTTTGACTTTAAGAACACGGAATACAGGGTTATACTTTTAAGACAGAGATGAGGAGGATTTTTTTTTCTCTGAGGGTAGTGTAACTGTGGAATTCCTTACCACAGAGTACCGTAGAGGCTGGTTTGTTAAGTCTATTGAAGGTAAAGAAAGACAGATTATCAAATGGTAAGGGAATCAAAGGTTATGGGGAAAAGGCAGGAAACTGAGCATTGTCAGATAAGCCACAGTGTTTCTATTCACTCGTGAAACGTGGGCATTACAGGCTGGCCAGCATTCCTTGCCCATCTCTAGCTGTCCTTGAGAAGGTGGTGGTGAGCTGTCTTCTTGAAATGCTGCAGCCCATGTGCTGTAGCTCGACCCACATTGTCCTTCGGGAGGGAATTCCAGGATTTCAAACTAGTGATATATTTCCAAGTCAGGATGGTGAGTGGCTTTGAGGGGAACTTATCTCATTAACTGGCAGAGAAAACTCAATGAATCAAATGACCCACATTTGCTTGGGGTCTAATTCTCAGCCTCTGCCAATTTCCCCGTCTCGCATGTCTTAGCATGGTTTGCCTTCACTGACTTGACTGATTTTAGTGAGGGGAGGCGCGGGAAGGAAACAATCAGCCAGGTGTTCCGATTCCCAGCCCCTACCCAACTGCCAAGCTTGGAAATAAAGGTTGTCCTTGGCTCTGAGATTCCCAAGGAGGAATTGCCTTGCTGCTCCTGGCCAGCACTGGAGACATCAATGTCCAATGGAACCATGGCCCAGCAGGTTCGGGAGAGAAGGGCGAAGAATCGAACGTTAGATTACCCTTTCAAGAAGCAGCTGAGAAGTGTACAGCTGCTAGAGCCATGGTTGCAGCTGCAGGTCGCAATTATGCTGTTCACGCAATGATGCATTCACAATTGGTTAATGCCAATTGGAGATAACAATCTGCTCATTATTATTTTAAATTAAACCTTCAAACACTGCGAAACTCTTTCATCCACGATTTGCCATTCAAATATAGGAACTCTTCAGAGAGACAGAAGGTGAAAGAAAGCTTTAAATAATTGGATGCAAATTACAGGAGTGGATGAATTCTGAGACAACACTTCTCAGCCACCTAATTCCAAACGTAAAACTCTCCAGCCTGCACTGAGTGATCAAGTGATCTGCAGGTCACTCAAACCCAAGGGGCTTTTTCCTAATGGAGACCCAAGGAGGTTTCCCGACTCAAGAAAATTGCTGAGAGTGGTTTAACTATCTCCCAGCTGTACCAAAGAGTTGGAAAGACGTTGTTAGTCAGCTGCTTTTTTTTTAAATCAAAGGAGCTTTCCCTATTGCAGTATAGCACAGACGGAGTCCATTCAGCCTATCAAGCCTGTGCTAGATTTTTTTTGCAAAATAATCCAATCGGTTCTGCTGTTTCCCTGTTACCTTTCAGTAGTTCTTTTTTTCTCCTTCCAGTAATTATCTAATCCCCTTTTTAGAGGTTACTGTTGAAACAGTTTCCAATGCTTGATCCGTGCATTCCAAATCCTATATGCTCGGTCCATGAAAAATATTATTTCTCACGTTTCCTCCAATTTGTTTTCCTTCTAGTTACGGATCCTGGAATCTATTTCCTTGATCTAAACTTTTTTTCCTCATTTTAAACATCTATTATATCTGCCCTTAGCCTTTTCTGCTCTAAGGAGAACAACTCCACCTTCCCTGTCCATCATAGAGTCCCTGCAGTGTGGAAGTAGGCCATTCAGGCCATCGTGTCAACACCAACCCTCTGAAGGGCATCCCACCCAGACCCACCCTCTACCCTATCCCTGTAACCCTGCATTTCCCATGGTCAAGTCACCTGGCCTGTGCATGTTTGGTTTGTGGGAGAGAAACTGGAGCACCCAGAGGAAACAGAGGAAACACAGACATGGGGAGAATGTGCAAACTCAACACAGACAGTCACTTGAGGGTGGAATCAAACCTGAGTCCCTGACACTGTGAGGCAGCAGTAATAATCACTGAGCCACCGTGCCAATATTGGCTATGATAAATTGGGGAAACCTACTTAAAGGGATGACATTGGAAAGTCAATGGTAAACATTCAAAAAGCGCAACAAATGTTCATTCCTGTCTGGTACAATGGTTAAAATGGCAATGGTGCTCAAAGCATGGCATACAAGGGAAATTAGAAATAGCACTAGACTCGATGAAGAGGTATACAAATTGGCAAGAAAAAAGACCACAGACTTGAAGGAGTGGTAATGGTTTAGAATCCAGCAAAGATGGGCAAAGTGATTGATGAAGAAAGAGTACGAGAGTAAGCTTGTGGGGAATATAAAAATTGACTGTAAATGTTTATGTAAGCTTGCACGTTCTCCCTGTGTCTGCGTGGGTTTCATCCAGGTGCTCCGGTTTCCTCCCACAGTCCAAAGATGTGCTGGCTAGATGGATTGGCCATTCTAAATTGCCCGTAGTATCTGGGGATGTGTTGCTTAGGTGGGATATAGGGATATGGGTCTGCATGGGATGCTCTGAGGGCCAGCATGGACTTGTTGGGCTGAATGGCCTGTTTCCACACCGTAGGGATTCTATGATCTATTTTATGATCTGAAGAGAAAAGGTTAGTGAAGACAAATCTAGGTCCCTCACCATCAGAAATGGGACGGTTTACAGTGGGGAACAAAGAAATCGGTGACCAGCTAAACACATTCTTTGGCTCTGTTTTCACAAAGGACACAAATAATATACCAGAAATGTTGGGGAAGACAAGTTTGGTCAGAGGGAGGTGAGACAGCACCTTCCAAATCCATGACTGCTTCCATCTAGAAAGACAAGGACATCAGATACATGGGAACACCACCAGCTGCAAGTTCCCCTCCAAGCCACCCACCATCCTGATGTGGCAACATATCACTGTTCCTTCATTGTCGCTGGGTCAAGATCCTGGCATTCCCTCCCTTAGGGTATCCTGGGTCTACCCTACAGCACAGGGACTGCAATGGTTCAAGAAGGCAGCTCACCAACACTTTGTCAAGGGCAATTAGGGATTGGTAATAAATGCTGGCAAAGCCCACTTGCCAAGAATAAATAAAATAAAAGGAACCGAAGGATGCAACGTCTCAAAATTTGCAGGTAACACAAAGCAGGAGGGAGGGTGAGCTGTCAGGAGGATGCAGAGTTGCTTCGGTGTGACTTGGATAAGCCGAGTGAGTGGGCAAATGTATGACAGAGGAGGTATAATGTGGATAAATGTGAGGTTGTCCACTTCGGTGGACAAAACAGGAAGGCAGATTATTATCTGAATGACGATAGATTGGGAAAGCAGAGGTGCAAAGAGATTTGGGTGCCCATGTACACCAGTCATGGAAAGCATGCAGGTGCAGCAGGTGGTGAAGAAGGCAAATGGTATGTTGGCCTTCATAGTGAGAGGATTCAAGTACAGGAGCAGGGGTGTCTTGCTGCAATTGTACAGGGCCTTGGTGAGACCACACCTGGAGTATTGTGTGCAGTTTTGGCCTCCTTTTCCGAGGAAAGATGTTTTGGTGATGGAGGGAGGGCAACAAAGGTTTACCAGACTGATTCCTGGGAATGGCAGGACTGATGTATGGAGACTGGATTGGTTAGGACTATATTCACTGCAGTTTAGACGAATGAGAGGGGAGGAAATAATCCGAGAAACCTTTAAAATTCTAACAGGTCTAGACAGAGGGAATGGAGGGAAGATGTTCAGAACCAGTGGTCACCGTTTAAGGATGCAAGATAGGCCATTTCGGACCGAGATGAGAAATTTCTTCACTTAGTGAGTAGAATTCTCTCCTATAGAAAGCAGTTGTGGCCAAAATATTGAATGCTTTGAAGAGGGAGTTAAGTATGCTTTTTAAGACTAAAGTGGTGAAAGAGTATAGGGAGAAACTGGAAACAGGGGACTGAGTTGGATGATCAGCCATGATCGTATTGAATGTGAAGCAGACTCGAAGGGGTGAATGGCCTACTCCTGCTTCTGTTTTCTATGTTTCTATGTTTTTACCAAAGGAATTTTCCCACTTTCTCTTACAGGTCAGACAGGCGCTGAAGGACAAGGGTTACCACATACTTGTGATGCAGCTACGGTAAGAGTTTCAAACCCTTTATGTTTCAGCATTTCAGTAAGACCTGTCTTGGTTCCATCAGTCTGTGCTCCATCATTCGTCATCCCAATTAACCATGCCCCATTGTGGCCAAGGCATGGAGAATTAGTTGGCTTTTTCTCTGATCACTTCGCTGCTATTCATTTGTAAAAGAGGGGGCCCCAGCAGCAGAAACTTGGCAAATCAGACATAGGGAGCATTCATGGAAAAGGGAAAAATGACTTAATGAGGAGGTTCTGTGGGAAGACTTTTGAAAGGTATGATGAGGTAAGTTAAACATCCCACTGTATCTGGTGAAATGATTGGTCAGAACTGGAGGTGAAAGAGAAAATCTTGCTTTCGGCGGGAGGATTAATAGTTGGAGTTGTGACTTGCTTGTTGTTCAGCTCTTTGTTGTATTTTTGCAACTGTCTCTCTGTTTTCCCTCTCCCACACCTCGTCGCATATAATGGATTACAGATCTATTGGCTTTGACAGCTTCCATATTTATTTCTGAGTGATATTGGTTAATGAGGATTCAATCATTGAAGGAGCTGTCTCTCGGTTGAGCTTAATCCAATTTTTCTACATTTGAACCTTGCTGGATAAAGAGACATGGCACTGATCAGGACAAATGCAAGAATGCCAAATTTCAAATGATCACAATAATTTAAAGTGCAGGGTGCTAGTTTGTTGGTAGTTTCACCAAGACACTGCTGCGGAGAAAGCAACGAGGAGGTCTAAAAATTTAACTTAGTACCAGACATCCACAATAATGACATGAATTTGTATGTCACCTTTAATGTAGTGAATATCCCAAGGATTGTGAAAACAACCAATGCTGGAGATCACAGTGGATCAGACAGAATCCATGGAACGAGAGCAAGCTAATGTTTTGGGTCTGTGTGACTCTTTGATAGAGCTGATGAAGCTCTGATGAAGAGTTGTCTAGACTCGAAACATTAGCTTGCTTTTGCTCCATGGATGCTGCCTGATCCACTGTGATCTCCAGCATTTGTTGTTTTCAGTACAGATTCCAGCATCTGCAGTAATTTGATCCCAAGGGTTGTCTTCTGTCTCCATTTAATAGGAGAGAGCACTGACAACATAGATTCATAGAGTTATACAACATGGAAACAGACCTTTTGGTCTAACTCGTCCTTGCTGACCAGATATCCTAATTTATTGTAATCCCATTTGCCAGCTTTTGGCCCATATTCCTCTATCCCCCTCCTATTCATGTACCCACCCAGATGCCTTTTAAATGTTGTAATTGTACCAGCCTCCACCACTTCCTCTGGCAGCTCATTCCATACACGCACCACCCTCAACATCTATCCTCTGAATCTCTTTTCCCTTTATCCCTACCCTCAACCTATCTCATTGCTTCTCACCTATCAACAACAAAAAAATACAAAAGCACTTGCTTTAATACAGCATTATTCCTGGCCAAATGTCTTCAAGTACTAAACAAATGATGAAGGGGAGTCAGTTGTGTAGTGGTAATGGCACTGGGCCTGGAGCTCAGACACCTCAGTGAAGTGTAGGAAGTTCAAATCCAGCCATGGCAGATGGCGAAGTTTGAATTTGCTAAAATCTGGAATAACGGTAACCAAGTTGAGTTTTGGGTTTTTTTTAAAACCCGTCTGATTCACTTGTACCCCTTTAGGGAAGGAATTCTGCAGGACTTACCTGATCTGGCCTACATGTAACTCCAGATTCTTAGCAGTATGGACTTAACTGCCCACTGGGCATCTGGGGATGGGCATTAAATGCTGGCCCAGCCAGCAATGCCTATATCTCATGGACAAATAAGAAATCATACAATCCCTACAAGGCAGGAAGTAGGCCATTTGGCCCGTTGAGTCCACACTGGCCCTCTGAAGAGCAACGCACCTCCCCACCCTATTCCTGTCCCATCCCTGTAACCCCGAATTCCCCATGGCTAATGAAACCAACTTGCACATCTTTGGACTATTGGAGGGAACCAGAGCACGAGGAGGAAACCCACGCAGACCTGGTGAGAATGTGCAAACTTCACACAGATAGATGCCCAAGGGTGCAATCAAACCCGGGACCCTTGCACTGTGAGACAGCAGGACTAACGACTGAGCCACCATGCCACCCAACAAAAGTACATTTTGAAATTTAATTAATTTTCTGTAGGAAACATAGCAGCACTTTTCTGCCACAAGACAACAATCTGGCTCTGACCAGGCAATCGTTTTTAGTGATGTCAATTGAGGAATAAACATTCGTGGGGATACTGGAGACAATTCTTTTCCCCTTCTTCAAAAAAAAAAAATCCTGGGACCTATACATACACCCATCAGGCTCATGGGGCTGTGATGCAACAGCTCATCCATAAGAAATTGCAACATCATTGCATCTTTCACAATCTCTCTCACAGCCAATGATGTCCTACTGAAACATGATAATAATGATAATGCATGGAACACAGCGGCCAATTGATGCACAGCAAGCTCCCAGACAGCCAGATGAGGTAAAGGATATTTTTTGTTCTAGTGAGGTTGGTTGAGGGATACATATTCAGGAGGTCAGTGGGAGAACTCACCTGCTGTCCTGTATGATGGTGCCGTAAGATCTTTTACATCTGCCTGAGACAGAGCCTTGGTTTCAAATATCATCTGAAAGGCAGCACCTTCAATATGGGGGAGGCGATGACCTAGTGGTATTATCACTGGACTGTTAATCCAGAGACCCAGATAATGTTCTGGGGCCTAGGTTCAAATTCCACCATGGTGGGATTTGAGTTCAATTTTTAAAAAAATCTGGCATTAAGAATCTTATAACTATGAAACCATTACCAAATGGAACGGGGAGAAATCCATCTGGTTCACTAATGTCCTTTAGGGAAGGAAACTGCCATCCTTACCTGGTCTGGCTTACATGTGACTCCAGACTCACAGCAATGTGGTTGACTCTTAACTGCCCTCTGGGCAATTAGGGATGGGCAGTAAATGCTGCCTGGCCAGAGACGCCCTCATCCTGTGAATGAATTAAAAAAAAATGCTCCTTCCTTACTGCACTGGGAGCAACAGCTTGGAATAATTACTGCAGCCAATAGATCTAAGCTTCAATCCAGGTTATCCCATATTATTATGGTGCAGAAGGAAGCCATTCAGCCCATCATGCCTGCACCAGCTCTGTTATCTAATACCAATCTCTCACCTTTACTTCACATCCCTGCACACCATTACTATCCACAAAGAAACAAGCCAATGCCCTAGAGTGCCACCATGTTTCCAGTTAGTAAATTCATTTTCTAATTCATTCATGCGATGAGGGCATTTATTGCCTCTCCCGGTTTGCCTGGGGGGGGTCAGTTAAGACTCAACCACATTGGGGAAATGAGAGGCAGAAAATGTGGCCATCTGACAGTTTGTTACATAATGTGCAAATGAAGCGAGGGTCTGGAGTCACATATAAAGATAGCAGTTTCCGTTGCTAAAGGACATTAGAGAACCAGATGGGTTTCTCTCCGCTACATTTGGCAATGGTTTCACAGTTATCGTAAGATTCTTAATTCCAGATTTTTACTGAATTCAATTTCCACCATCTGCCATGGCAAGATTAAAACCCAGGTCCCCAGAACATTAGCTGGGTCACTGGATTAACAGACCAGCGATAATACCACTAGGCTGTCACCTCTACTTCCTAACCAAAAGTATTCGCTGAGTGAAAGAGTCCCACATCACCCTTGCTTCGTTTGCACATTATGCAACAAACCATCAGATGGGCTGCAATTTCTGCCCCTCATCTCCAGTGTGCTGGGTCGTTGGAGTGTATGTATTCATTGTTTCCCTGGCTCAGTTGGTTTTGCCCTCTTTGCTGCAGTTATTACATCTTCTAGGTAGGTAGTTACATTGGTGCCAGTTTGCCCTGCAGCAACTCCCCAAGTGACTCCTTCTCATATAATGCAACTGGCTGTTTGTCAATGGGCGGCATCCCTGTTGAACCAATCCTGTCATTGCCAGGCATTCCCATCTGGCAGCGGAAAACCACTTGGGCAAGTAATTGGCAGGTGAAGTGCAGAAGTCGATGAAAGAAGAAAACATGGGACGAGTTGTAACATGAGCTCCCAAGTTGTTATTGCCCATTTAACGCTATCTCACCAAGTTAGAGATCTATTTCCTTTATGTCTCCAAAACCCAAGACCGCAAGGTCAAAAAATGTGATGAAATGTGAGTGGGATTCGAGAACGGATTTTGTGGCAGACCACAAGTATTTTCTTTTCATTGAGCTGGTTCCTGTATAACTTCATTCATTCCAATGTCCTTCCAAAGTTCCTGGCAATTGTGCAGGTTTTGTGCCAGGAAAAATAACTCAATTGTATTTTATTGTGTGCATGTGAGTGAGAGAGAGTGTTTGTGGTATAGGTGTGTGTCTGGGGTGTGTGTGTCGGGTGTATGGGGCATGTGTGTGTATGGGGCATGTGTGTGTGTGGGGCACGTGTGTGTGTGCGTGCACGCACAGGAGGCAAGGAAGGGAGTTACGATTAAACAATGTGGTTAATTGAAAATTGGCTCACTCTCCAATTTAAATAGGTAGTCCAGACTTGCTCGAGACACAGTAGCTGTGGATATTTGATATTGGAATCAGAGATTAACCAGTTCAGCATCTTGGGTGTTCCTTAACATTCTTTAGTTGCGCGGTGATCCTCTGAGGAAGCCTGTAAGGAGAGGTTTGTCCTCCATTTCTGAAACAAAAAAAAATCATTTGCACGAAGTGAAAAGTCACCTATCTCAGTGACTTTTGGTGTTATGTCAACATTGGGTCACTTGCTCTATTCTCTCCTTGTCTGACTCGGTGTGAAGTTTTGTTTAATTATGACTCCTATGAAGTCCCTTGGGTAGTTAAAGGTGCTATGTAAATACAAATTGTTGCTATTTTTGACAGCACACTAATATAGACAGTGACCCACTGAATTAGTGAGAGAAGGCTAATGGAAACCTGCTATTGATCTTGAGGTCAATAGCATC